AGGCATGAAGAAATGCACAAAGCCATTAGGTACAATAGGTGTATCTCGCCTTCCAGGTTGGGGTCCGAAAGACTCCACAACTGGTTGGTTGGAAACATTGAAGGANGTCAGAATGCTTGAAACGGTATGTATGCGAGTTCGATTGCGTGCTTTGTGTGTTGATCATAGTGGCTCACCTTCTTCTCTCTCTCTCGAAATAGATCCAATCCCTGTCCACCCTAAACTTTACCACTAACCTTGTGTGCACTGCGAGTTTGGCAGCGATCAGCGAAGTTCGCTTCACTGTATTTCGCTGTACGATGATGATGATGATTTGTGATAGATGATATACTGCATTCAAAAAGCACTGGGCACTTCAGATTCAACACCTTTGAGGGCATTCACGCACTCCGTTTTTTCGTTCAAAGGAATTATTGATCATAGTTGTGAGCACTTGTAAGCGGTTCGGCCACTTTTTGCGTTTACCCCACATAAATTAGTCTCTCTAAAAAGTAAACATTTATTTGGAAATCTGGAAGAAAGTTTGATATATGAAAAAGAAACTTACAGACAGAATCCTCGAAAAGGTTGTCTCTTTTTCAGTTTAATGCGCTGAATTTCGTGTAATGCTGGTTTTCTTTGGTTAATAATGCCGAAAATGTATGAAACGGATCCATTTGGTCTGAATATTGTCGTCTGAGGCAGGATTACGGACCAAGTATTACCTTCCCGTGCATGTCATCAAGATAATCGAATTGTCTTCTTCTGAAAATGAAAACTGTTGCACTCTGTTTCATAAGCAAGTGAAGGGACACGAATATTTAATTTGAAATCTCATTGGGGACGATCTCTATTTTTTCCGCATCTTCCTATTAGGAAGTTGGGGAGGGTGTGTGTGTGGAACATATCGGGACAAACAACGGCTAATAGTCACCCAGGTAAGGCAAATTTACAAGGGATTATCTGTCCGAAAATTGAAAATCGGGTCATTAATTTAGCGCGTTTGTGTCCGTGCGTGTGCAATTACACAGAAGAATTCAACACAGGGATTAATAATCGACTTGAATTCGTTTATTGCAGTCATGTGGGTGGGTAGCTCCCTCTATAGCAGCTCTGCAAAGTGAGACTGGGATTTCAGTCGATTCGAAAATTCTGTGAGAATGAACGAAATGAGCAAGGAGGTTCAATGATTTCTATTCCGCAGTATTTGGATCGAGTCCATGGGCTCCCAACTGTCGTACCCAAATCTGATCTGTCTCGTATAAAAAAGCACACTGAGTCTTAGTTTCGGGCATCTTTTGTATTTTCACGGTTTAAGTATAAAACGAAAAACAAAGGGTAATTTTTCCTCTAAAAGAAGAAAATAAATGTCAATAAAACCCGTTTTAATTATCTAACTTGTCTTTATATTCTTGCATTCAACTACTATAATTCATCTTGTTTTGAGAGGTTCTCATGAGTTATCAAAAGCTGAACTTCGCAATGTACTTACTGCATATCTGTTCCCTGCAGTGTCAGCAACCCCATCCAGACCATGACGGGTGCGGGTGAACGTGTTCCATTTCGATCTTTCAACTACATCAACTGCCTACTAATGAGTAGCTGAACTTAGTGATAAAACTTTCTCGTGGTAGCCGCACGAACCGTTCACCACGTTTTCCTCCAGGAGCGGAAATTATGTTAACTGGATGCTATGCCTTATGCTCAGCGTTTTCCTTCTAAATGTGGTCCCACTAAACTTCCGCCTTCAAATTATTTATATGAATTGGTTATTATTACATATTTCAGCTCAGTTGTTTGCGTTTACGAACGTGGTACGAGCTCATTACGTTATTTTGTAGCGAATGGGTTCCTTTCAATATTTTCTCCCACACATTTCAGCGGCTTTTTGAGTGGCGAATATTCGTCGCTTCACTCTTATTTTAAGACCTTCCTAATTCTTCATTCAATTTGTGTTCTTGCATAATTTCTAAACTCAATCGTTCAATAACTCTCATTTATGCATCACTGCATGACGTTTCGGCCGGTGATTATTCTCACATTTCCTTTTTGCTTGCAGAGTGTTGGCTTTTGATTATCTCAAAGTGACTTAGGTCTATATTACAAATGGATCAAGCTAAAAACTAAACGGGGTTATATGACACTGGATGAATTTTATGGATAATCTTATCGTTACATTTCCCACACTACCTTCTTAATCTGTTCAGATCTTTCCTCTCGTTGAACTTAAACTCGACATTATTGTTCATATAAACAACGTACTGATCCTTGGTCGCCTTTATTGCCTTATTTCAGTCACCCATTTATGGAATTCGATGGAAATGTGTCGTATGTCTAAGCACTGATCTATGCTCAACCTGCTATCATGGTGATAAGCATTCTTTGACCCATCAATTTCTACGCATTACTGCACCATACAATACTAGGTAAGTTATTTCCTCATTAAGGATGTGTTTTATTTTCTCGATTTATGTGCTCATAATTTTTTTGTTTGGTTGTGGTTTCTGCACGATTTTGGAAAACCTACACTATGATATATGGTATTTTTTTCATCGAACAAAAACATTTTTTGCCCTGTCCCGGGCATCATAGCTGCATTCCGCTCACGCGCAAATCAGGGACTGAGTTTTTTGTAATAAAAACATTTTATCGTGCTTTGTACAGGGCTTAGCCTGAACTTAGGCAGCTTGTATGCAAAGTAGCAACTATGCAGAATATCTACTCTCTTCATATACACAGAATCTTGTNCTTGTGTTTTTCGGGTAGGAGTGACCATAACCATGTGAATGGGATGCGTTATCACTGCTCAAAACTTGAGGATGCACTCTATAGATCAGGAGGGAGGAGATTTAAAAACCTTTTTTTCTTACTGTTTGGGATTCACGGGGTTTAGTGGATAACTGTGTTGTTCGCATCAGAGCCTAAGGGATCAATAGTCGCTTAATCTGAAACTTGGAGGTCAACTATTCGTCTTTTAGTCTCGGTTTCCATGTAATTACAAAAAGACGGTAGTTGAAACCTATAGTCCGCGGTTGAGTCATATAACTTCTGTAGGGATATTCTGAAGTAAACGTCATCCGGTCGTCTTAAGAAGTTGGCAAATTAGTTTTATATCCTTTTGGAACAGGTTTAGCCCATAATTCCAATATCCGGCATAGAACTCTACAGATTGCATTATATAAAGTACTAGACAAGGGCACTTCATATACCATCAGTAAAAGTAGGGTGTCAGGGAGCCAATGGAAAATTTTGAGTCTTGATATTATTTATTCCCGTATTTTGGGTCATTTCGATATTCAGTATACTAAGGTTTTATCGTATATCTTACATACCATAGACGACCTAAGATGTGCAGAAGTGCAAGGATGCTAACTTATACCAGCATTTATTTTTATTAAAGCTTCTTTGAAATTATCTGCATATATATATGATAACAGGCTTTATGTCATTCTAGCGTTTATGGCTGGCCATGGTAAATCCAGGGCTCTGACCGACTTTTTTTGAACGCACAAAGGGGGGTTGTTCAACCGAATCGCGATCGCTTCGGCTGTTGACAGTAAGCGGTGCTTGACCTGCTTCGATCTCACCCCGGTGATCGTGTAGATGGGCTTGACCGCTTCACTCATTCCGACGCGATGCTCAGTTTCGACCAAATGAGCCGTGATCGCTGTCCCCCCGGGTTTCGTCAATCCACGACTAAGCCAGCTGGGGTGGTGTTTTCGAATGCGTTCAGCCAAGCGGCTTGTAGACAAGCATGGTGCCAACGCCACAACAATAATAGCAATAGCAATAACAGGGAATAGATGGATTGGAATACAGAACAAAGTAGAAAGAGAATGAAACAGGTAAACACGGGAAAGGGGAAGATAACTGAGATACTAAAGTTATCTTCAACTTAGATTTTGCAAGAGTGATCATAGCCGTGTAAGTTTTTATTGTTCGTCAAAGATATTCATAAAGGTGACAAAACTGATTATTCCGTAGTGGATTGTTTATTTTTTTACAAAATTTCGTGATCAATTTCATGAGGTATTCTTTTAGACAACGTTTGATTTTTTGCTCTTATTTCATAGTACCATTGAGTTCTTGGAAGACGATAGACTCAAGATGTCTACTTCCTAAGGTAAGGTTTTCAAATAAGTTCTTGTTTGCGTTTCTTATCTTGTTTTAGTATCGCATATTCACTCGAGGTCATCTGTTTCTTCTCTTCAGAGTGATTGTCGGACGTCGTCTGAAGCAACGTCGAGTAGAGGCATTGGGCCTATTTCCCAAAGCTCGAGTTGTTCGCGGAATCGATTGGAGTTGGGGAAATCAGGACTGTGTTTCCCCGTTAGCTTCTAGTGGAAGTGGTTCACTCTTGCTGGGCGCATCCGGATCTGCTCTAGGATGTCGAACTGCTGTCCGACCCAGCGGGGATGATGCCTCAGCTGGACCAATACTTCTCCCAACCCAAGGACGTATTACCGATAGACGAGATTGGTATCCAGGTGCCCCACGTTCCGCTGCTTTAGTTGCTTGGGACAGCGGTGCATACAATGTATATCGAGTTGGATANTGCTGGTCTAATTGATTTAAAGGTAGAGACTGTAGTTTTACTTTTTCAGTATTATTTTTCCTCCTACACGTCGCCACAATTTACACCGGAGCTTAAAGTCTCGGTTTGGTTGGACCCCAAACCATTTGTCCGTTATCTTAAAGTTTAGCTATTCGTTTGATTTTCTCCTAACGTGTTTCGCAATGGTAGAAACAGAACTTTTGTGAGGGTCCTGACTGCAAACCAACCCAATGTTGAAGAACTAGCAGAAGCTTTAAGGTTATCAGTTAGTAATACTTAGTCACATACCATAATAATGAACTAGTTGAGTTCTCTGAACCTATTCAGCAAAGCTAATAACGCTTATGTGAGAACTTCGAAAAATCCTGCGGCTAAATTGTTCAGGTCAGGTAATTTGCTAACAAACTTTCCTTTGATACGTTTAAACGGTACAAAAGATATGCTTTTTTTGCAATCTAAAGCAAATAGGCTGGAATCAATGGTGGCGTTTTGTGGTAAAATTAGGAGGGGAAACAAAAATTCTTGGGCGTTGATCCTTAGATTTCCCGTAATTACCGGAAGAATCAACCAATTCATGAAACAGAAAACAGACCTTGTTTCAAAATTTCTGTGTCTGGGCTTCGTAGGACGTTTAAAAGTCATTGCAATTGTTGGCGTAGAAGGAATATGGATGATGTTCATATATTGGTATAGCGTTATCTTATAGTGTCCTTTGGGAGAACGCCGCTTCAAGAATCTGTCGATGAAATTGATAGTCAAAGACTTCCAGCTGTTTTACGGCTCCAAGGCTTAGTATTCCTGTTTGAAAATTCTAGGTCAATATCGAGAAAATAGTGACTCGAAAGACTCAGGCTTTGGTTCGAAGACTGATCTTATTAAGTGCCAAAGTGTCCTGAGAAGTTGCAAATATACTGCCTTGGTGTTGTTGATTCGCAATGGAACTGCGTCTTTGATCTGCCTATTTGGGAGAGTTGTGAACCCTTTATATTTGCACAAATGGACGTATTTGCTTGACTCACGGTCGGCGTATCTTGGAGAAGTGATCTGAGGAGAGAAAGAAGAAAAGACCTCGGCTTTCAATGAGGTGATTTTCAGTCCCAAAAATCATGATTGGCTGCAGAGCAACTGAGCTATCTCCTAGGATCATGATGACGTTTGCGAATTCTAAATATGTTAGGAAAATGTCCCAAGCTATACACCAGCATGGTTGCTGGAAGCTTGGCACTTTACCCAATCGATGAGGTAACCAGATGGCATTAATGATAAGGAACAACCCTGTATGCGTTTCCCTGCGAGTATGGTTAATTGGAATGTTCTTATGACATTAACAAGCTATTCGGTTATATCGTCCGTTTGTAGAACGGTCGCTGGGTAGTCTCTAACTTCCGCGTCGATCACGGCTCTGAAATCACCGGAACTAGTTACGCACTGTGTTTGTAACCTGCTCTCATGCTGCTGTACCTACTGTTGAGTAAATATTTCCTCTACGCACCACCTGCGACACCAAAGCACTATTTGAATGGGGCAGTCCAATCAGTGAAAGCACAGAGAATATTTTTACATCCAAATTGATCTTACTTTTGTAGCCGAGTGAGCAACTTTTTATTAAATAACCCGAAATTATGAGAGACTGTTTAGGTAAGCGATTTCATCTTAGATTAACGGAGACAGTGGTCTCAATACAGATTTTTTGATAGATGACCGCAATTCATAAATTGAATTCTACTCTATTCAGTAAGATCCAGGTTGTAGATAGTAAGTGATGTCATTCACGACCGCATGTCGCTTTATCGGTTACTCAAAGGCAGCGACGTTCATCCGTTTAAGATCACTATTTTAGTTCCGGTTGATCAGGGGATCTTAAGGCTTGCACGGACGATGCACTGTCCTGAAGAGGGGGTAGTTAACATCTATAATGAATGTTTTTTTGTGTAATCTGAGGTGAAATGATTTTGTGTAATCTCATGTTATTAACTATGCAACTACTAAAATATATTGCACACTTGGTTTCACCCGGTCCAGGGAGAGAAAACAGTGAAAACACTTGCGCTTTATGCACTCATTTAGTTGATTTAGCCTATACAAATATGAACAGTTCACAACTGACATACAGTTAGTCTTTTTGGATTTTTCAAATAATTTTCAAATTCATTTGAAATGAAAATAATTATTTCCTAAACGTCTTGCAGAAAAATTTTGAATGTTTTCTTTTGTGCTGCATTTCCTTTCCGCTAGAAGTCTTATGCGCGTTCGTGCATTCTACAAGCAAATGTTTGTAGTTTTCGAGCTACGCTTTTCAGTGATCACTCCAGGCAAACTGTTTACGGACGTGTTGGTGCGATGGTTATTTACTTTTTAATAACAAATGCTCAAAGATGCTTACGTTTTCTTGTTTTGGGGTCAATTGTGTTAGGTCGAAATACAAACGCACAATTTAACTACTCACTTGCGTGTCCGTACGTAGCAGACCTTGTAGCAGTACGGTGTGAAATTGATGCCATATTTATACAAAATAAGATGAATGAGTAGTTTTAAAGTGTATGTGGCTTTCCGTTGCTTTTATTTCTTGTTGTTATTATTGCACGTTACTAATAGTCAGTTGTGCGGTAGAAATTTGTAAATCAATCGGAACACACTGCGGCTAAACAATCTGAAACGCGTTCAATCTCGATTCAACCGGAAAACAGACAAATAATTTCATGATATCATGAACCGGCATTTTTACCATCTCCCTGAAATTTGTCTTATCAGTGTTTTAAGGGACTATAAAAACAATAAGTTCAGTCAAGAGAAACTTTGTGCTTTGTGTGTGTGTAACTCGTGAATTTTCAGCAATTTACGAATTTGTACAAGGGATATCTAAAAAGAAGGGAAATAAATTTGCTATTGTAGTACAATAAAAAGTCTGACACAAGAGTCCTTCCTCAGGATGGGTTACAATTGTCGTACGATTACCAAAAATTTGAACTATGTAAGTTTGAAATAGCACTCTTTCTATATGGAGGTGTACGTGCAGAAGGAGTTGGTACTTGGAGCGAATTCATGGGTTTGACACGACTTTCATGGTTTCACATTAAAGATAGTGTCCTAATTATAAGATGTTGCGACAGTATGAGTATGATGTGACCGGAAATTCTGTTTATATTATTTGGCTTTAGCGATGAATGTTTTTTGCCTTCAAGACGCACCTGGCAAACATATTTATACCCTTGATGGGTATCATTTTCAATATTCGCGCTTTTGTTTATCAGAATTCTGCCAGAAGCACACTATCGTTCACAGAGTTTTGCAAAATTTGTTTGTCTATTTATTCTATTCAGAGTACACTGCTCCAGTAGGTTATCAGAAATGTCATGTTTTCCCCTAAACGTTTGCAGTTGAGTTAATCCAATGATCCACTTCATTGCTTTTAATCAATCTGATCTGCTTCCGTGTTATACGGGTTACAAATTGTATTTTTCTGCATCACCAACTGATGTTCTTATCATACTCATTGGAGGGATTCACGTGATTATCTAATTTACTCTTTAGGCAATTCGTCCAGCAAAAGGTGGGAGTTATTATGTGGATCACTTACCCTTACTAGCTGATCTTCGTGATTGGAATGCCAATGAAGCAAGACGGAGTACCGACGAGGTCACAATTAATTGCACCGGTGATGAAGATGTGGCTGATCTATGCCGCGATGCCTGTGGGAATCCGTTGGTACCTAATTGGACTAATCTGCAGGAATTGGAGAGCAGGCGTCGCAGAACCACGGTTTCTTCATCAAATGCTGATGCGCAGCGGTATCGTCGCGCTGCTCAATCCACTCGCCAGTCAAGTCGAGCTGAAGGTTCAGGGCATTCGAGTTCGCATGAGCATAACAGTACTGCTTCTCAGCGCCTGGCCTCAGCTACTAATATATCACAAGAGCCCGCGGCATCAAGTTGTTTGAATGTTTGCACACTTGCCAGTCGACTACAGCTTCAGTCCGGTTCCGTGGAAAGTTATGCCACAAACCATCCAACCACAACTCGGCGCCCTGTGGCTGCAACCGGTCGTCTAAGTTCAAGACCCAGTCAAACTAGCTGTGCACGAGAGCGTGATCTAGATGACACTTGCATGAATCGCGCATCTGCGGCATCTGGTGGTGGTCTGCGCAATCTGGGTCAAACTGCCCGTAGTCTCCTAACCGATTTACTGCGCAGTAATACGTCTGGTTGTGCAGTGCAACCGTTGAGTAACTCGGGTTCTACCGGCAGACATGCTTCTGAGACAACCGGACAGGGACGAGCACATACAGGAACGCGTTCTGCTATGACAAGTCCACCCGTGTCTCGAATTCAGAACCCATGTATGAGACAGGAAGAACGCATCAGTCGGACGACAGAATGTGGCGCAACGGCCTCTGCTAGAAGCGGCCCGAGAGTTCGAGACCCTTCGGGGACGCACCCTTCTCAGCGACGTGAGGTCAGTTTCTTTCAAGTTAAAAGTATTCTTTTGTTCAAATATATTTCTTTGGAATTTGCTACTTGGGTTCTAAAGTAGCTCTGCAAAATTTTTTCAATTCTTCACGGTAGGTTAAAAAAATATATCTAAAATCAATATAAGGTGAACGAGAACAATGTTTCACAACGCAATTGTGAGGGGAGTTTGGGCTGTGTCGTGTTCAAGCAAACATTTGCTTTTTTGTAACCAGGCGTGAACATTCAACATCTACCACATAATGCTGACGCGAAGAAATGGATAAAGCGTAGTAATAGATAAATTTATAAAATCAAAACTATTTGGGACATTCGTTCAAATGGTTCATGTTAAGTATGCCCGGTGCTACCAAGCGATAACACTGTTGAGGATTTGTAAACCGTTCCCGAATACAGGTGAACATTGTCACACACATTCGATCAATGCATTGCGAGAAGGGTGTATGTGATTTCAGACAAAATTTTGCTCGAACACCGTATACCTATTTTATTTGCTGGGTGGCAATCGTTCGGACAAGACGCTCGCGCGGGGAGCTGCTGCAGATGGATGATCAGCTTTGCAGTTGTTGAGAAAGGTGAAGAGGGAAGTCTAAAGCAAATGAAGGAAGATGCATGTGTGTGAGTACATATTTCCACCGAATGCACTGGTACGTAAGACGACGAGAACCAGGCGAGCATCTTAGGCATAAAGTCTCTTGATTTTGTCCAAGATGACAAACGTGATCTGATGATGCGGGATTCCAGTTTAATGTGACAAATAGACACTTGCTTGATAGAAAGCTCCTGAGTAAGGGTTTTTGTCTGTCACCGCCACATGAGTGCACGCAGTCCCAGATTGGCTGTATTTGAGCAAAAACCAAACACCTCCAAGTTTCAGTGGATTCAAAGAGAGGTTATACAATGATTATTAGTCGCTTATTCGGTAAGTGTCACTTTATATAGCCGGAAAAATAAATTATATATACATCCAGGCATGAATGTTCCCCTACTCTCCCCTCTACAGTATGCTATTTGCCCATGGGGATTTCCCCATTTACTGTAATTCACATTGTGTAATATAAAAAATATAAAACATTGGTTTGAGAACAAGCATGCTACCAACGCGAGAAAAATATAAATAGTTGGGGTGTGGGTGATGACAAATGAGAAGAATAAAAACAAACAGGTTGCAAAGAACAAGAATAACAGTGAAGGATCATTCAAATTGGGTATTCTAAAAGCCATGTCATTGACGTATTTTTTCGATAAGCGGGTGCAACATTTAGGATAAATATATTAACAATAGAAACGAAAACGGCATGGCACCCTGAGGAATACCAGTAAAAAAAGTTACAAGAATAGGGACGTTTCCATAATAGCTGGAAAGCAACCGGGGGTCAGTGCAATAGTCCGTTGGGAGATAAATGGTACAATAGGTAAGAATGGATAGAAATTTATATTCCCCTTAGACCATCAGTGTGCGTTTTGAATTGAACCCAGTGCAGCGATCAAGACTTGTTTTCAGTGGATCATCTTTCCTGGCTAATGCATCACAATTTATATAACTGAGGTAAAACGGAGGGCAATGATCGGACTTAAAAAATGAACTAAGCTTGAAAAATACCTTCTGTTTCCGGTAAGGTACCTTAGTCCAAATGTGACGAAGAGTAGAATGGACGAGTAAAAGTAGGGTGGGTGAAGGGTCTTGGGAGACTCAACGACTTCTCAAGTTATATTAATTGTGATACCAAAAGTATATCTGTGGTTCAGGAAACATTGTTTTACAAACTTAGGTTTTTATCAAGTGCAGATAAAACCAGTGGTTCACGGGCACCTAATGTGGACCTCGTACTAAAAAAGGCAAACTAGCAAGGGTGGTCTATAGTACCTAGACAATTTTCTTACCGCTAATTTTTCAAATACTTTCAATGAGGATGAAGTACAAGCTACTGAACGAAACATAAGGGAACCTATCTTAGGAGCTGACATTGCTCATTGCTCGCCGTCACTTGATAATCTTTTGTTCAACCAATACCTGGATGATAAAACCGTTCCAGCAACAGTCAGAAAGTTCAGTGACTAAAACCCTCCTCTTCTGTTTAGCAGGTCATTAATGAAACCCAAATTGAGCTGATAAATACGCGCTGCCAAAAAAGTTCAACTAACTGGACACTATTTTTTAAATTTTAGTTCATACACGATCTACAATAAACTTTCTCTATGATGCTACGGGTAATTCAATCAATTTTACTGTGTTACCAATGTCTTTTCAATTCCTTTTTAAGGTTATGCCTAAAGGGTTATTTTAATAGTGAAATCGATGGAATTTGTTATTGCTTTTCGATTACTTGCTATAGCTTAGTGAAAATGGTGACGCTGCACACCTGTCCCGGTCACAAAACCCTTTCACTGGGTGACGATTACCGTAAAAGTCATTGGAATGTAATGCCATACAAGCTGCACAGGAGCTCATCAACCATTAGTCATTAAGCAATTTGTGAGACACCAATGTAGTTTACTAACCAAGCTGTTCTTCTGAATACAAAACAGCCTATCTTGGTTTTCATACAACAAAAAACATTAGAGCTGCATGAACATGCGCGATAGCCTTGTATCAAAAGTAATCAAAAAACTACGTAAAAATTCTGTCTGTCCGTCGATATCGGAGCTGTATACTAGAGTGCAGAAGAATACCCTTGGAGTTCGGGTAGCATTTTTGCTTGGTAAACAAATCTGGTTGTCAAACTGAGAGGCTTTGGTTGTACAGGCTATTTTTGTTCGGCTGACATTTGAAGATGAGCTTGAAACAGCAGCCTATATTCTCCTATATGATATTCAAAACAATGGCTGTTTATAAATGCACATCAAATAGATATGAGCCTTTTGAAGTTTTGTTTACATTTCTTCATGTCATGAATTCACGGAAACAATTGGAATTTTCCCTCACAAAATTCCTTTCTAATGACTTGTCGGTATTAGCTTCTTTCTAAAGCCGTTCCATTTAGACTATCTTTTTGACCTACACATTGATTTTGCGCGTAATGAATCCTAGTGAAATGCCCAATTGTTACACGAAAATGCGTTGTCTGTTCGAACATCTACAACCCCATTAATCTCCTTCGGTTTTTGAAATAAATCACGTTATTTGTGCTACGTTCTTGGCTTCCGAGACCGTGATTATCCGTTAAACTTGGACCGATTCCGTTCCGTTTTGCTTTCCCATTTTTTGCAGCGTTTATTTATCACCTTTTGTAATCAAACAAGCGCATTTCCCATTCACGAGTCAGTTTGAGTGCTGTTTTCGCTATGCATCTTCAGCTTCATCGATGCATTCTTCTATCAGAAGCCTTGGTTTTAACAAGAACAATGCGCGATTTCTTTCCTCACTAACACACATCAAACAGTTTAGAGGCTAGATGATATGGGGCACAGTCAATAATTTATCTGGTCATTCGACCGTGCTCGTGCAATTTGCTTTCACTCATCTTGACCGCATCGCGGGTGCCGCACTGTATGACTACCTTGCGGTGCACTATAGTTATATCCAATCTGCTTAGTTCATTGAGAACAATCGATGTGAAACAATACAGACTTGTTCCGTTCTATTGAAAGTTGAAAATCTGATATCAGCATTTATAACAAGTAGAATATGACATATTTTTGTGTATACGTGAGCAAATAGTGTTTAGAGTAGATTATCTGTCTTGATAATCATGTTCCTAATACTTAATGATACGATCACGAATAGAATAGAATCTGATCTGATGAAATTTCTTCTCGTTAAATTTTTCTCGTATTCTGTTGACGGAGCCCCTAAATAAGCAAATCCTCTATGTACTGTCTTTCTTTCATCATGTCAGTGATTTAAGTATGACATATCTCCTTTCTTGCTCCACAGACAAACTCCAACGATCGTTCTCGCCTGGTAACTCTCATCCCACGAGCCGTGATGGGTGTTCACACGGATTCGATCAATCGGGAGAGTGTCTGTGCACACACCGAGCCCTCAGGTGTGACCGATTCGAACGAGCCCGCCTTGCATAGTGCTCTGCGCAACACTGGACATCGTCGTGAGACGGGAACACGGTTGGTGTACGGTGTGTACAATCAACTACACGGAATTGTTCAAGAAGGTGGAGTTGGTGGCGTAACTGGCTCCGGTCAAGTCAATGTGACCGCGGATGCAGACTCAGCAGAGGTGGAACGGCGCAGTAAGTGAATCTTCAAGCTGGGTGACTGACATTCACAATCAGGCTGATTGTAGGACTTTGCAATCCTTCTGCTGTATCTCTGTACTCTATGCCCTAGTTTTGTTCCATTGTTTGCACTAAGTTTGTACTATCTGTACAACGCCAAACGTAAGACACGCACAAATATTGATCATCAAATTGAATATGGGTGGGGTTAACGAGCACTCTGATACACTTCGACCACTTTCAGTTCGTTTTGGCGAACGGTACCAGAAGCCCGTCGGTGCTTGTTGATAGTTTGCCGTCAGAGTTATCGCATGGATAGTTTTGACACGATAAACAAAATAACAGGGAATTCTAGAGAAGCGTTAGTTCATGCACTCAGAGAGTATTTTGACAGAGATCCTAGTGTTACAATTCACCAGAAAGATGAACGAACTGAGTTGTCTGAGTAATTCTTTTGCCTGATGTGGTTGAAAACACCGTTCAGTTGTGTCCAGGAATTTCATACAACATTACGTGCGCATTAATTATCATTTTCTATCAGTTATTTTGTGTTCTGTGTGTGTGACCATTTTGTCCTTTTCTGCTACTGATTTTCCAGATGAGTGCATTGCATTTAGAAGTCAACGATTGTACGAAATAGGCAGAATTGAAAACAGTGAAAACTGGATTCAGACACAATTTGGACGAGATGAAAGACCCAACTCCAGCCGCCACGTAGTGTGATCGTTCAGCACGTTTGTGCTTACACTCACTACTTTTTGTTATTCTGTCACATTCTTCCTAAAATCATGAATTGATTCAACAGGTGTTTAAGCCACGGACTGGTATGGCTAGTTTCACACTTTTGATCTTCAAAATAAGTCTCCGGTTTATCACGTAAAATTTGATTTTATTCTCAGCAAATGAATCACTGAGCGTTACTAAACCATATTCTTAGCCCTTGTACTGGATAAACCTTGCGAGATTGATGCGTAGCTGCTTGTGAATGAGGTATGCTTTCCTTTATGTCCCCATCATCTTTAACTTGGTCTCACCTAAACCAAATATAACTCAGCTAAGTCTGTAGTTTCTTCAAGGAATTTGGAACTCGATGAATGTTTTTACAGAATGAGAAATGTTTCTACAACAGATCAGTTTTACATGGGAATCGTGACTAACTTAGGGCCTTTAGATACAATAAAACTTTTTTTATCCTCAATAGTTCCGGGTTTTTCTACCTATGCTTGCTGACACAGAGCTTAAGAATAAACAAGAAAAAAGGATCCTTCATTTCATCCTGCACTCCTGATGCGATATGGGTATGGCAAAGTTCAATGAAATGGAGAGTACCAAATACAGTTTCTATGGGATTTAAAATTATTCATGCGATAGAAACATAAATCGAACAAAGAAGGTATGCAGGCGTTTTAAACAGTATGTAGCTTGCGCTCATTTTTATGCGCATAAATTATATTGCTTCCAAGTTTATTCGGATCGGATGCTTGCAGAAACAAAGAATCCATTTGGTAATTCTCGAGTGGAATTTCAATATACTTATCATTTGTTTCATCTGCTTCTATACTTCGCATGTCACTTCCCCTTACAGACTGTCAGCGTAACCACTGTCGTGGCCAAGCAGGACACTCCAATGAGGACTTGATTCGTGCTGCCGAAGAGGGCAATGTGAGACGATTGAAGTGTTTATTACAGCATCGACATGTCAATGTGAGTTCATGGTGGGATTTCTTTATGAGATCTCGTCAATTTTAGTTGTCAAACTTCTTCCAAACGTCCCTGATGAAACTGTGGAATGATTGATGTTACTCACAAATATTGTAAGTAGTCAGGTTGCGTTTCGATAAAATGTGATCGCACGCTGTGCATTGCATTTTGAACAAATATCTTAAGGGTAAAATCGTAATACGATCCGGAAGGTTATGCTTAATAAATAATCCTTGAGAATCCTGAGTTATGCGACAAAAATTTAACTTGTTCGCATATGTGCAAGCGAATCTATCCATTGTTGTATGTCTCCACACTTCCGGTGATATTTCACTTTTCAATGTTCCTGAACGTTTACCATAGATCTGAGAATAGTGGTTAGAATGTGTCAACTTGGGGCAGAAGAAAAATTATTGTCGTTTGTGAATTTCATCTTTTCTTTGCGTTTACTTTCATTGTCAAATGCTTTCTTCCTAATATACCTGGGAAGTGTGAGTAATGCATTCGCCCTAAGTGGTTGTCATTTATCGCTTGAACTTCAGACATCCACTGTATTTTAAAAAAATCATGTATTCGTTTTTATTTAGGTGGATTCTAAATTTGCCGGAGTCACCGCACTGCATGTAGCTTGTCAATTGGGCCACGCAGCGTGCGTAGCCGTTCTGCTTCAGTTTGGCGCCAAACGCAGATTGCGCGTCGGTTCGGGCAATGAAGCAATTCATGCAGCCGCAATCGGAGGCAACCTGAGTATTGTTAGACTGCTGCTCTCTTCTCGAATTCGTCATTGTTCTGTGAGCATGCAAACTACAACTAATCCTGATGAGGGTGTGTTTTTGGAATCCGAGGAGTCTGGGACACGTGATGCAACTGAGGTTTTATCCTCGGATGAAGACGATCTGCCGGATGTGAACTCGCGGAACTCTTTAGGTCAGACAGCACTGCATTTAGCAGTGTCTCGTCATGACTTTTTGATTGCTCAGTGTTTACTGGAAGAGTTTAATGCACTGCCGAATCTTCAGGTGAGTGCTGGTCGCTCTTTCTTGAAAAAACTAGTTATCCATGAAGTGCTTTCTGAGTCTTTACATTGGTTGATGCAAAACAACTGGTAAAAATGTGCAATGGATGTCGAAAAAGCTTTGTGGGTTCTTGTTTTATATCATTATTATGTTTTCTGTTGTGTCCTATTTCATTTTCCGGTTCCCCGTTCTTTTTTTAACACTTCATGCCTGTTTTTCAGTCGGTGCGCCGAGTAACTCCGTATTGTCTCATGTTTGGTTACTGATATCGTATCGGTTTCGTGTTACTTAATCCGCAGATCACTTGTGGCACTATGAGAATAGTGGTGGTTACAGCTCCATATGTCACTTATCGCTCTGGTTGAACCGTATAACTTTTATGCTAGTGGGAGGAGCGCTGTGCAGAGCATAATGTTATATAGATACAAAAATAAAACCTCAGAAGCTGTGCGCTTGATCGATCCACCTCCGAGTTGAATACGTTTTATCGCTCGCTCACAAATGTTTCGACTGTTCCGTTATTTTGCTATAATTCGTTCCCCTGAGTTAATGTTTTCTAACCTAACTCGACTTGTTTTACCAAAGACTCTCCAGTTACTAGCTGACTTCCTGTGTGTGTTTTATCCGGTTGGAACAACTAAACATTTGTTGAATATTTCCAGTCCGTGTTTGGAAAGAAAAGTAGCGTGGTAACTCCTTTCTGCGTAGAGATTAATAATTTGTCAAATGTCGGTGACTCCGGTGAATTCTAAGGAAAACCTGTCGAGGCAGTCAGCTTACAAGCTAGCTGGTGGATGCCACATGCCTCTGTAAGTTGGATGGGTAAATTCGAATGTGAAACAGATCAGTGCTATCGGTGTGGCCTCGTAGCTCAGCTGGTAGAGCAAGCGCGTACAAAGCGTAGGCGCTGTCCCTGCGTGGGTTCGAATCCCACCGAGGCTACCGAACTTTTCACAATCAACATGCAAATGCCGGTGGAACAGAATGAGCTTTTGGCGGGGATACCGAATACACGAGCAAACAATAAACTTCAAAGGTGATACAAGTTAATAAAAGACGTTTTAGTGAAACATGAGTGATATGAAACGCACCACCTCTGTGTTTTGTTGATCACATCTCATGATCAACGGTGTGGATCAACTATTCTGTTCGCTTCAAGCTGGTTATTACCCGTCTTGAACAATATGCAAAAATCTGTCTAGCAATACCCAGAAAATTTCTTCTGACCAGGTAACTTTCCAAAGGGTTTGGCTGCCTTCAACAAATTGTAGTTTCTTTCTTTTTCTAGAAGTCACGGTGGGTCAACTGCAGAATTTCAAGTCCGGAGTACTTTTTCTGAACTCCACTTTATTAGATAGCAGAATTCAAAATTCATCAAAGGCGGTTAAAACATCTCTGCTACAGATCCGGTTCTTTGTTCACCAATCCAGATTACCGGGACTTAACTCTGCCTTGATGGAGTGTTCAACAAATGCTTGATACAAATTTTCTGACCTTCGGTGGTTACTAGCACTGCCCATTTGGTCATCCTCTCTTTAAGTTCCATATTACTGGAAGGATCTTACACTAAATCGAATTGCTCCAACTGAGGAAACCTACAATTCTCTTTTTTCAAACACCGTTATCATCGGATCAGTAAAACTTATAGTTTGCAGCCTATTTGGCTGTATTTTCCTTATGAAAAATAGGTGATAGGTCTGAATAACCGACGCCTAATATGACAATGGATGGGATATGCGATTGATTAGTTATTTTAAAACCGTGAGATGGGATAATGTGAGAAATCATTCGAAACCGATTACTCTGTAATTTTTTGATGAATAATCTGTGCAACTTTGGAATATGATGGAACAGCCACCTGTTTACCAGCCTATGCTAACTTAGCCACAATTGACAAGTAAACACAAGACCGTTGTGAATCTGACCTATCTACACTCCTCATAT